ATGGCAGATGCGACGTCGACGCCGTTGAGCACGCCCGTCCCCTGGAAGACCTTGAGACCGACTTAGACGCGGCTAGGTGGAAGCAGGAAGCCGCGCACCTCCACGGCAAGATTTGCGCAATCGGCAGAGAACAAAAGAGGTACGCGGACAAGGCTGAATGGCACGATTGGGCCCTCAACAACGTCGTCGTTGCAGGCGGACAATGGCCAAGAGTCAGACAAGTTCAAGCTGGCTACGAAAGCGAGTCCGACACGCGCGGGTGGTGCAAACAGGGGCCAGAGACCCTTCTCCATCGAATCTGTAACAAAGGCAACGGCGCATACGAGAAGACATATTATTTGGTGACGAAGGCAATGGCAGGAGTGGATGCCAACCCTGCGTGATGGTTGCGTGGCATTCCGCCGAAGGAGTTCACACACCCTATCGTCACCGACATAGACAGGCAGGACTACGTCAGGTTTGGCTCATTCGAGCAGGCGAGAGTCCCTGTCTTCGGAGACGGACCGGGAGGATTCCACGGAGCAGATCCCAGGCGCAGCAGGGTCGGAATCGCGATGGTTGCCGTGAAGTTGATCGATGGCGTGTGGAGCATGACAGCGGGCGCGATGGCAGATCTACCTGGGCGGCGACAGCGCCTAGGGCAGAGCCCACCGCTTTCGCCATCGCTAGTGAAGAGGCTATTTGTGATATCGTCTATGTCACGGACCACTACCCCCTACTCAACGTTTGGAACATGGGCAAGGCTCGAGACCCAGGACGCGGTAGGAATGCCGATATTTGGGCGCGCATCAAGCGAGCCATCATGGAGAACGAGCAACGGCGTATCGAGGTGGAACGGGCCCCATCCCATCAGGACGATGACGAGGCGGAAGTGATCAACCCGATCTTCGCGGTCGGCAGCGACTTCGCGGACGCGCTGGCAACGGTGGCAGCAGAGCCGTCTTGGGAAAAAGGTATGGCAACCGCTTCCGCGAACGGACGAGTGGGGCGCGATGTGCGCCCGCGTGCGACTCCGTGCACGACGAGCGCTGGCCGACTCTGCAGATGCTGATCCTTGGTGCGCCGAAAGACCGTCCACAGCCAAGCCCAAAGTAAATATTCATAAAGCGAAAGTCATGACCGAGAACTCTAAGCACGACATGGCCATGTTAAAGAATATGTGGCTTTGCGCGGCGCGCAGAGAGTGCGTCGCGGCGGACGCCCTGCAGGAGTTCGCGGGCGCGCAGTGCGAGGCGAATTTTACTTCGACCAATGAGATTCTCGACGTCAAGGGTGATCGCGTTATGGGCAATGGCAGGTTACACCCGACGCGCACGGTCATCGAATGGACGAGGTGCGGCTTATTGTTCCGCGCCGAATGCGCTGCATATGGCACCACGATTGGCGAAGGGATTGAGAGAGACCTGCGAGGAAGTCATCACAAAGAACGGCCAGGACGCGTTGAACCGCATTCGCGATGGGAGATATCTTGGCCACTGGGGCCCGCCGAAGGCCGCTCTGGCGGCGGAGCGTTCAAGGCTGGTCAGGCAGATGCGCGACCGAGAGATTCTCGCTCCACATGCACCGCTGCAGTTTATTGGGATAACACCACCGCTTGCAGCTGCGCCAATACCTCCACGCACAAGGCGCCGTACATCGAGAAGGCCTGCAGGACATCGAGACGCACATGCACGCGGCGGGTTGCTACGGGTGGAGCAAGTTGCGGCGCCAGGTCTTGCAGCAGATGGGGTTGACGCAGTCCCTGACCTAGAGGAGGTGCAGGCGCAGACACAGGTGAACGAACGCGACGACCCCCAGATGCAGCACGACCTGGGGGAATTATTCAAAGAAGCCGAGTCCAGAGTGCAGCGGTCTGGACAACCGCTGGTTCCCGCAGCAAGTTCATGCTCGACGGCTTTGGTACAACCTGTTCGAGGGTACAATAATGAGCCACCTCCCTCATGCGAACGTCGTCGGGTTTCGGGAAGGCCTGCAGCGCGTGGAGGCGCCCGAGCTGGAGGTGTTAGAACGCAAGCCCCAGCCCCCAGGTGCACCTGCGAGGTGAGCAGCGCGTGGGGCTGGGCTCAGTCGCCGAACGTTTTGCTAGAACCTGCCCCCAGGTGCACCCGTGAGGTAAACCGCGAGAGGGGCAGGGGTGCAGTCGGCACAGTACGCGGTCAGGACGCAGCGCAGATACTAATGATGGGGTACGATGAGCCCGAGGTGCAGCACGACCATGGAAATAATATTGGAGATACCGAGTCCAGTGTGCAGCGGACTGGACTACCACGTGTTGCCGCAGCAAGTTCTTCCTCGACGGAATTCGCGCAGCCCGCTGGAGAGTATATTGAGTTGGGATTAGTTTACGACGATGAGTAGCTGAACCCGTCGTCTGCCAGCGGCGAGATTGGGCCTCCGCCTTCTGAGCCCCTCGCCGCCGCTGCCGCTCGCCTGCCCGTTGTGAACCCCAGTGTGCCCGCGACTTTGGCACCTGGGAGTGGGCTCCCCACCGAGCCCGAACGGCTCCGCTCGGTCGCCCGTCGTGAACCCCAGTCTGCCCGTGACCCCGGCACCTGGGAGCGGGCCCCCACCGTGCCCAAAGGGCCGACAAGCGGCGGTGGAATTGGATCGATGAAGAGTTTCCGCGGGCTCGCCGTGTTGTGCAGGGGCTTCTGTGCCTGCATGAGGTGGCGGGTCTAGTGGCGTGCCTAACCTAACCTAATCCTCGTCCTCCTCCTCGCTTACCTCTTGGCTCTCTCCTGTCGCATCCCTCTTGGGGGCTGCAAAGTGTGAAGCTGTCGTCGCTTTCGAGAAGTGTTGGGGGGGCAAGTGCAGTGGGGACCCACGCAGATCCTAACGGGACCTCGCCATCCCAGGGGGGGGTGCTGCGAATTGTGAAACTATCACCATTTTCGAGGGCTGCTGGGACGGGGGGCAGCACAGTGGGGCCCCACGCATATCCAAACGTAACCTCGCGATGCTTGGGGGGGGGTGCGAAGCGTGAAACTGTCGTCAATTTCGACGGGGGTTACGGGGGGGGCCAGCACAGTGGGGTCCCACGCAGATCCAAACGGGACTTCGCCATACTTGGGGGGTGGTCTGCGAAATGTGAAATTGTCGCCACACTCGAAGGGTGGGGGGGGGGGCCGGCGCACTAGAGACCCACGCGAATCCAAACGGGACTTCGCCATCCCTGGGGAGGCGGGCTAGGAAGTTTGAATTTGTCGCCAGTTCCGGGGGCTGCTTGGGGGGCCAGCACAGTGGGGTCCCACGTAGATCCAAACTGGACTTCGCCATGCCTGGGGGGGGGGGGTCTGCGAAGTGTGAAATTGACGCCACATTCGAAGGGTGCTGGGGGGGGGGGCCAGCGCACTGGAGACCCACGCAAATCCAAACGGGACCTCGCCATCCTTGGGGAGGCAGGCTAGGAAGTGTGAATTTGTCGCCAGTGCCTGGGGCTGCTTGGGGGGGCAGCGCAGTGGTGTCCCACGCAGATCCAAACGGGACTTCGCCATACCTGGGGGAGGGTCTGCGCAGTGCGAGATTGTCGCCACGCTCGAGGAGTGCTGGGGGGGCCAGCGCACTGGAGACCCACGCAGATCCAAACGGGACCTCGCCATCTCTGGGGGGCTGCGAAGTGTGAAACTGTCGTCATTTTCGAGGGCTGCTGTGGGGCCAGCACAATGGGGTCCCACGCAGACCCAAGCGGGACCTCGCCAGCCTTCGGGGGTGCTGCGAAGTGTGAAATTGTCGCCACGCTCGAGGGGTGCAGGGCGTGGCAGCACAGTGGTCCCCCACGCAGATCCGAATGGGACCTCGCCATCCCTGCTGGGTTGCGAAGTGTGCAACTGTCGTCACTCTCGAGAGCTGCTGGGGGGCCAGCACCGTGGGGTCCCACGCAGACCCAAGTGGGACCTCGCCATCCTTCGGGGGTGCTGCGAAGTGTGAAACTGTCGTTCGTTTCGAGGGCTGCTGGGCGGGGCAGCAAAGTGGTGCCCCACGCAGATCCTAAGGGGATCTCGCCATCCCTGCTGGGCTGCGAAGTGTGCAACTGTGGTCACTTTCGAGCGTTGCTGGGAAGGCCGCTGTTGCGTCTCCGCCTGTGTAACCTTACCTTGCCTGTGCTCCACCATCTCGCCGCTCCTGCGGAGGCGATGGTTCTCCCGCCCCGATGTCTCCTTTTTTCTTCTCCTTTCCAGTATAACGACTACTGGCCTTTTGTACCTCTGTTCTGCGAGTCAGCCACGCACACTTCGCGCCATTTTTTGACGACGCTCCATCCTCTGAAGGCTTCAAGCGAGGCTATTTCTCCATATGAGAGAGATCCGCCTTCGGCACTGCACACGGCATCAGGCACCGTGTGCAGCGCTGACCACCTTAGCGGCAAGGCGCAGCTGCGAGCGGCCCGCACCACACCTCTGTGCGCTTCGCGCCATCTTTGTGGCGCACACTTCGCGCCATATAGGTATCCGCCGTGCACCGTCTCTTGCAGTGGTGCTGTCGCACTATTGTCGGCACCAGGGTAATGATCGAGGGCACGGGCCCGCGGCCGGCACGCCGTCCAGGATGCCCCCCCTCTCCCCCCTTTTGGGCACCTCCCCCCCGCGGCCGCTGGGAACAGTTCGGGGAGGGGGGGCACGACACAGGCGGTCAGAGTGGTCCACGAGGGCCCAGGGGCAGCTCGAGCACTTCAAAGAGTTTCAAAACGGCCCAAACAGACCGTGACGGGCCCAGGGGGCCCGAAGAGCATCCTCCAGAGTCCAAGCCAGGAAAATAATCTTTGATTTTCCATGGTTTGACTTTCTGCTCCTCAGAGCGCCCACGACAGGCTAGGAGGCCCCAAGCTCGCCCCTAGACGGCCCGAAAGAACATCGGCAGGGCCCTAGGAATGCAAGATGAGCCCAAGACGGCTCAAGAGGGCACCACGAGGGCTTCCAGAACGGCCGAAGACTGCCCAAGAGGGTCTCCAGAGGGGCGCAAGACGCGCAGACGGCCCAAGATGGGCTCAAGACGACCTCCGTAGCCACTTTGGCTCAAGCCACTTTGGCACAAGACTGGCTTGAGGCAGCGTCTTTGTAGCCTCCCTTCGCCCGCATCACCGAGCTCCAGGCGCGGAGCCGCAATGCCGGGCCTGCCGCTGAGCCCCTTCGCCGACGTGGAGACGGCGGCGCACGGCGCCTGCACGCTCAGCTCGCTGTGGCCTCCCACGCCCACCCCGACCGCTGGGCCGCCGAGCCTCGAGGCTCACGCCCAGCCGAGCGACGCGGTGCGCTGGCCGCTGCTCCCGAGCCAGGCTCCGCACGGCAAGGCGGTGGAGCAGGGATCTGGGCTCCCGCCGCTCGACGTCAGGGGCCGCAGTCAGCTCCAGCAGCCCGTGAAGGTCAAGAACACCTTCATCGACGGCTTCCTCGACGACGAGGAGCAGGGCGACGGCCCGGCCATGACCGCCTGCAAGACCTGGTGCGTCGGCACGGCCGCGACGGCTTGCCCGCTGCAGGGCTCCGCTTCCTGGTCCTGCGCCAGCACGACCGACGAGGAGAGCGCGGCGGCCACGGCGCCGACGTCGCCGGAGGGCGCCGTGCGGCTGCCGGAGGAGCCGCCGCACCCGGCGCAGCTGCCGCAGGCCTCCGCGGGGTCCGAGCTACACGGCACCGGGCGCTGCAGGCCCTGCGGGTGGTTCTGGAAGCCGGGGGGGTGCGTCCACGGCGCGGCGTGCTGCCACTGCCACACGTGCCCGGAGGGCGAGCTGAGGGCGCGCAAGAAGGCGAAGCTTGCGGCCCTCCGCGCCAGGAGCCACGAGGGGAGCGCCAACGACTCGCAATGAGTCGCCTCTCGGCTGATCCACAGGCGTGCGAATTCGGTGTCACAGCGTACACCGGTGTCCCAGTATGGACAAGGCGCGACTGACCTGCTCGTCGGGCGCTCTGCACTCTTGGCACTTGACCACCACGCGTCAGGGGCCGCTTCGTTCTCGCCCCTCGCAACGTCCGCCCGGGGTTGAAGGACGCGTTTTTTGCCACGTGTTGGTAGCCACGGCATGTGTTCACAGTCGTGCGAGTTTGCTGCCTGCAGCGGCGCAAGTCCGCACGAGCAGCATGATGTAATCAGACGAGCAGGACAGCTAGCTCTCGTGCATCTGTTCCGTTCGAGTTTTTCCCGCACTTGGGTTCTCTGATTGTTTTCGTTCTGAAGTAGTTTCTCGAAGTGGTGAACTTCTTCGGCGACTCCGAGTTGGCTACTTTTCAGAGTCATGCTTAAACTGTGAACTAAATCTTGCCCCCCCTCTCCTCCTCGTGATATATTACTGTGGCAGATGTCCCAGATATTCACGGATTCGCACAGCGCTCATGTTGAGCGTGTTCGCGCAGTGACTCATATGTCTCTGCCTGGATGCCGCCACCATGGAAGACATGGTATGCAGAGTACTTCATGTGATCAGGTTGTTCGTCCCGTGCATCAGGTGCTTGTGAGTGCGTGAGCGGCCGTTTGTACATCTGCTCGCGGAGCTTAATTGGCAATCAAGACCTGTTCGGTTCTGCGAAGTGTTCAGAAGAAGCAACCCAAGATGGGCTCAAGACGACCCCGCCGTGGCCTCAAGAGCGCCCAAGGGGGTCCCAAGACAGCACAAGAGGCTCCGCACATTAGGCCAAAAACGGCCACAAGAGATTCTAAGAGGGCCCAGAAGCCCCCAAGACGGCCCCGAAACAGCTTTCAAACCCTCCCAAGATCGCGTCTCAATCATGCATCCGAGGGGCTCCTAGTGACGGCCCGAAGATGGCTGGAGTTCGCCGAGAAGCTCTTCGATCATATATGCCCCCGAGAGGCCAACGTTATCAAACTCCAGGCCCTGCCTGTGCAACTTGGGGGGGGCTCTGGCCTTCGTTGCATTGGTTTGGCCCCACATGCGTGACCAGAAAGGGGGGGTGCGGCCTTCGATGAACCGTCGTTCGACACATGTGGCGTGTGCTACGGAACCAGACTCGGGCACCCCTCTTCTTTGTCCAGCTCCTCCTGAGGTCTTCGGGCGGATCCAGAGAAGCGCAAGGAAGCTTCGAAGTAGTCTTCAAGACCTCCCCACACGGCGCCAGGATCTCGAAAGTTCATTGCCGCAGCTCCCGCCACCACCCCCGACGGAGTGCCAGAATCGCCCTTGCATTCCCCATTGGCAACTTGCGATGCGAGCTCGTTAGGCGCGGCGAGAATCTCAGTGCACGCGAAGAGCGCGCGTGGTTCTAGTATAGTCTCACTTCCCACGCAGTGTTCTTAAAGCCACATCTACATGTAGTTCACCCTTTCGCTACATCTATCGGTTTCACCATGTATCGATCTCACGATCTATGTCTCTATCAGTCTATCCAGCGTGGGGCAACCACGGCGAGGCACCAACATGACGACAACCTCGAGACAACCGCGGTACCACTGAGGGATGGGACGGATTTGGTGCTGCCCGAGTTGACCACATCATAGCCTCGACCAGCACATCCTCTCCTTCGCTCATTTTCGCCTCGCCCGCACGCGCGACACGAACTGACACCGACGTCGATGTCCCACGTTGGGCCACCTCGCTCTCCCACCCCGGCCTCCGATTCCTTCTAGACACCCCCCCAGGGTGCCGAGGAAGATTGCGGGGCTGAGTATGCAGGATGTTTCACTTCTATCAGTCTCCATGGGGCTTTCCAAGAAGGGCCTCGCCTTCGAGGATCGAAGGAGTTGTCATCTCTTCCGAGGCGGAAGGCGGCGGAGGCAAAACGAGGTCGCCTCCGCCGGCGGAAGCCGGCGGGAGCTCGGCGGAAGGTGGCGGAAGTAAAAGTCGACCCCCGGAGAGATGACAACATTTTTGGTGTCCAGGGTTTCCGGAATCGGCCACATGTCGTTATGCAGCATGTGTCTTGCAGGTCAGCTTTGCGTCGTCGGTGCTCTGGCGCTGCCAGTGCTGGTCGACGGCGCCTCCTGCGTCGCCACTGCTTCTCGGCCTCGAGTGTCTCCGCTGTCGGCTCCTTGCCTCGCGTCTCCCTGTGCTCCCCTCCCTCTCCCTCGTCCTCCCCCGTTCGTCATCTCTCTCTCCCTCCCTCCCTCTCTCCCTCGGTCCACCTCTCCTCCCCTCTCCTCTCTCCTCCATGCCCTCACCTCACTTCGGCACCTGGTCCTGCTGCTACCCCTCCGCCCCTCTTCTTCCCAAGCAGCTCTTCGTCGCACCACCAGACATGCTGGTAGGGCGGGCTTGACTTTTCGCTCGGAATTTCCTCACGTTGTGAGTTCCGAGTGTTTGAGTACAAGTTCCTCCCGGCCTCGCCCTGAGGCTGCGTTCTCCCCCCTTCCTCCCCCTCAGTGTTAATTCAAGCTTCGCGCGGCCCGCTTAGCTTCGACGGGAAGAGGTGCGCTCTCGACCCGCGAATCAAAAATGTTTGAGTACAAGTTCCAGCAGCCATGCGAATGGAGGCAAGAAGGCGTTAAACACCTACATCTCGCGTGAGACACCCTCGCAATGCAGTTCGACATCTGAGGTTTCACAAGGAGAGGACACGTGCTCCAACGCGCGTTTCCTCTTGAGACCTCCCTGCAGTCTTCAGGAGCGAGCCCTGGGCGAGTTGGCGTGAGACGGGAAGTGGCGAGAGGGGGGGAGGGGCCAACCACGACACGGCCACCTCGCCGACTCGGTGCCCTCTGGAAGCCCCCTTCGAGGCCCCTCGGAGTCACTTTGGAGCTCTGCCGGGGCCCTTCGACGAGCCTCCCGTGGCTGTCTTGGGGCCCTCCGGGAGCCTTTGGGGCCGTGCTCGATGCCATCGCTCACGGCATCGGGGCTCCTCATGCAGAGCCCTCCTGGCTGGAGGAAGGACCCTCTTGGGATGGTGCTGCATCGGGGGCGGTTGCTCCGGCAACTTGGGGCCACTTGCTGGGGCCGTCTCGCGCAGCACGTGGGTCAGGAGGGGAAAAAAGCACACAGACACAAGGCATCGTCGGTTCCCCAGACAATCTGGGAAACTAAGGGAAGTGGGGGGAAAGACACAAGCCCAGAACATATGGGAACCTATGGGGAATCTTTTGATGTGTGTGTGTATTTATTTGTGTGTCCCTGGGCCCCTTCAGTGAGGCAAGCCGGGGCCGTACAGTCAAGGCGCTGAAACAGCAGGGCCACGCGGGGCTCGGGAGGGGGCTCGGCCGCTGCTTGCAGCGGAGGCCCGTGCCGGGAAGCACCCTGCCTGCCTCCATGTGTGCCCCGGGGTTCGTTTCCATGTTTCTGCTGTGTGGAAGGCGAGACGCCTCCACGCCAGAACTCAGTGGGCGTCCTGGGGTCTCAGGGATTTCCAGGATTTCCGCCATCGCGCAGTGATACTACACAGGCCACCGTCTGAGCACGGAATCGAAGACGCCGAATCAGAGGACGTTGAAGAGGTGCCAGCAGCATACCTGCGAAGATTGCCCAGACGCAGAGGCTGACCCTCACCCGACCTGACTACGGCAACACCGCGCGTCTCTCGTGGGGGGCTCCTCGTGGGCCGGCCTCCACCGCAGGTCCAGCCCAGGCAGCCCGCCAGGGGGCCGAGCCTCGCCGTGGCCGGAGGCGCTCCCCTCCGTGCCCGGCCTGGCGTGCCCCACGGGGCAGCGCGTCGACGGCATGTGGCTATCCTGTGCCGCCCAGGGTCCTCGTGGGTGCTCCGACGGTCCTCGCCTCCCTTATCAGTATCGTTGAGCCGACCCCCATCCCCATCCTCTTCCCCCTCGAGGCCCCCACGAAATTGCCTCCCCAGTTGGGGAGACACCCCCCGAGACCCGAAGGAAACGGCCTACGTCCCCATCTAGTTGTGTAAATCGGCCAGTGGGGTCCAGCCCACGCTGGTGGGGATGGGGATCGGTTAAACGATACTCATCGTGAGTGCTCCGACGATCCTCGCCCCCCGTACCCCCCCCCGCCAGGAAAGCCGGACCCTGGGGGCGTTCCCAGGACTGGCGTTCCCTACGGCAGCGCGTCGAGGGTGTGTGGCCACCTTGCTTCGTCCAGGGTCCTCGTGAGTGTGTTTTGATGATCTTTGTTTCTCTTCTTTCCCTACCTAGGCTCTGCCTAGAAGGGTTCTTACTCGGTTAACTTAAAGGGCCGGGCAGTGTAAACCGCCCCGGGCGGTTCCCCCGGTCCCTTGGGAGTGGTTCCCCCAGTTGCGCTCCCTGGGTGCCAAGCAAAAGCAAAAGCAAAGGCAAAAGTGAAGGCAAAAGCGAAGGCAAAGCAAAAGCATAGCATAGCATAGCATAGCATAGCACAGCACAGCATAGCGCAGCATAGCATAGCGCGGCATAGCATAGGATAGCATAGCATAGCCTAGCCCAGCATAGCATTGCGCAGCATAACATAGCATAGCATAGCATAGCATAGCATGGCATAGCATCGCATAGCCTAGCCTAGCCTAGCCTAGCCTAACCTAGCCTAGCCTAGCCTAGCATAGCATAGCATAGCATAGCATAGAATAGCATAGTATAGCATAGCATAGCGCAGCACAGCATCCACTATTGCTGCTCTCTCTCTCTCTATATATATATGTACTTATACATATTTCTCTTCCTATATTTTAAGAAGCCCGGGCGGGGGGAAAACCCATCCCCCCCCCCCAAAACCGGACTCTCGGAATCTGGGGCTTTGGGACTTTCCGGACGGGCCTCGAAGCGGCCCCCCGGGCTTCGCAGGGCGTTTCGCCAAGCCTTCCCAGCACCCGGAGACGGCCCCAGACGGGTTCCAGGCGTTCCGGCACGCTCCCCGAAACGACCCCAGAGAGCCCCAAAATGGTTCACGACGACGCCCACGAAGCCGTCATGCCCCCAAAATCGCTCCGAAACGTCCCAAGAGGCCTCCAAGAGCACTCCCAAGAAGGACCCAAGAGGCAAACTTCTTTGATTTTTCATTGGTTTTTGGTGATTTTTGGGATTATTCCCCACATGCTTCGTGGGGTTCTGGTTTTCTTCCCTGCCGCGTCGCACCCGCGTCTCCTCCTTCTCCTCCCTCTCCCCTCCTCCTCACAGCACTGCTCAGCACAGCTCCGCTCACCTCAGCACGGCACAGCTTAGCACAGCTCAGCTCAGCTCAATTCAGAACAGCAGAGCACAACATCACAGCTTAGCACAGCTCAGCTCAGCTCAACTCAGAACAGCACAGCACAGCATAGCAGGCGTGGCATTTTCTCGACACCAGAGGGGGTGCGCAGGGGGTGGTTGCCCTATGCGCGCCAGGGTCGTCCAGGCATAGCAGGCGTGGCATTTTCTCGACACCAGAGGGGGTGCGCAGGGGGTGGTTGCCCTATGCGCGCAAGGGTCGTCCAGGCATAGCAGGCGTGGCATTTTCTCGACACCAGAGGGGGTGCGCAGGGGGTGGTCTCCCTATGCGCGCCAGGGTCGTCCAGGCATAGCAGGCGTGGCATTTTCTCGACACCAGAGGGGGTGCGTAGGCGGTGGTTGCCCTATGCGCGCCAGGGTCGTCCAGGCATAGCAGGCGTGGCATTTTCTCGACACCAGAGGGGGTGCGCAGGGGGTGGTTTCCCTATGCGCGCCAGGGTCGTCCAGGCATTGCAGGCTTGGCATTTTCTCGACACCAGAGGGGGTGCGCACGGGGTGGTCTCCCTATGCGCGCCAGGGTCGTCCAAGCACAGCAGGCGTGGCATTTCCTCGACACCAGAGGGGGTGCGCAGGGGGTGGTCTCCCTATGCGCGCAGGGTCGTCCAGGCATAGCAGGCGTGGCATTTTCTCGACACCAGAGGGGGTGCGCAGGGGGTGTCTCCCTATGCGCGCCAGGGTCGTCCAGGCATAGCAGGCGTGGCATTTTCTCGACACCAGAGGGGGTGCGCAGGGGGTGGTCTCCCTATGCGCGCCAGGGTCGTCCAGGCATAGCAGGCGTGGCATTTTCGACACCAGAGGGGGTGCGCAGGGGGTGGTCTCCCTATGCGCGCCAGGGTCGTCCAGGCATAGCAGGCGTGCCATTTTCTCGACACCAGAGGGGGTGCGCAGGGGGTGGTCTCACTTGAGTGCCAGGGTCGTCCAGGCATAGCAGGCGTGGCATTTTCTCGAAACCAGAGGGGGTGCGCAGGGGGTGGTCTCCCTATGCGTGCCAGGGTCGTCCAGGCATTGCAGGCGTGGCAGTTTCTCGACACCAGAGGGTATGCGCAGGGGGTGGTCTCCCTATGCGTGCCAGGGTCGTCCAGGCATTGCAGGCGTGGCATTTTCTCGACACCAGAGGGGGTGCGCAGGGGGTGGTCTCCCTATGCGTGCCAGGGTCGTCCAGGCATTGCAGGCGTGGCAGTTTCTCGACACCAGAGGGGTGCGCAGGGGGTGGTCTCCCTATGCGCGCCAGGGTCGTCCAGGCATAGCAGGCGTGGCAGTTTCTCGACACCAGAGGGGGTGCGCAGGGGGTGGTCTCCCTATGCGTGCCAGGGTCGTCCAGGCATAGCCTCTAGTGCGGGATTGCGTATTGCATCTCGTATCCAAGTGCCAGGCGACGCCGGATATGACCGTCACAGATGACTCCTCAACCCCTTCTCTCCCCCCACACGTCCTCCCCCTCCTTTCAACGACCACAGGGGGCACCTGAGAGCGTGACGGCGGTGGTAGTGGTAGCGCGGTTCACACAAGACATAAAATCAGTATGTGGGGTTCCTCGGTAGCGTAATTCTCTTTTCGGCTTCCCGACGCTCCAAGACGGCGGTCTTCTGGGCGTCCGAAGCCGCCTGGGAGGCTGCAAAATCGCCCCACAACTATCCGAAAGGGCTTCCAGGCAGTCCAAGACAGCCCCAAAACGGCACAACAGGGGTCCAAGATGACCCTAAGAGTGCCCCATGGCGGCCCAAGATGGCCCGAAGACACGCTCTGAAGCATTCCAAGTCGTGACCCAGTCATTCAGGGAGACCGCGGTTGGAGGCAGGGTGGCCCGAGGAAGCCCCCAGAGGACCCCAGAACACACCCAGCAGGCTTCCAAAAGGCCTTGAGAAAGCATGATCAATTTTGTGAGGCCCCCAGAGGCTCTCCAAGGAGGAGCTTCCGCAAAAAAGAACTGAGGAAGATGGGGAGAATGCGCAGGGTATGGCGAGAATGAAGAAACAGAAGCATTGAGGAAGGAACACGAATAACATTATGAAAACGACGATGCCGGAAAAGGCAACAAGGAGTTATCGCTAAATTGCCGGCTTGACCTTCCTGCCATCTCGCCTGCATGCCGAACTTTATGCGGCAAGGTGCATGGCGCGAAGCGCCAAAGCAGTCGTGTATATATATATATATATATCTAAATATACACATGTGTGTGTGTGCGCACGTATGTGCGACGATGAGGAGAAGGAGGAGGACGGCGTTTACCGCTCCTACTAATGTTAGTTTCCTAGAGGCTCCAATTCCTAGGTAGGGTCGCACTGGGATAATTTTCTCTTGCCAGAAGAGCCGGACCCGGGGGGCGGGGGTGGCAGTAGGCAGTCTCCTCGCCGGAGGGGAGGGCTGGACTGGTCGGGAGGAGAGCAGGCGCTCGAAAAACCGGCGACTCCCAGAAAGCTGGTGGGACGCTGCCTCTTCTCCACCAGTAGGGAGGGGGGGCGTTCCGTTTTCAAGTTCGCGCTCTTCAGGGGCAACGAGAAGGGGGCATAGGCATAGGGGGGATGCATCGACACCCAATCACCCATTGATCGCCGATAGGGGCACAATAGCCCAAACCTGCCCAGGAACGTGCGGATCTATTATCGGGGGCTTATCGCCGATCTATCGGCAATGTATCGCCGATTCCAGGTCGATGTTTCCCCCCCTATGCTTATCCTCCCGATCGTTGCCCCTCAGATCTTGCTCGAGCTCTCCTCCAACTAACAATGCTGGAGCTCAGCAGTACCAGACAGCTGCACAGGGACGGAGGACTTGGTCGGTCGAGTGCGTGCCCTCGCGTTGGAGCCGCGGACGTTGTGGCTTGGCGTCTCGCAGGCGCTGCCAGGCTGGAGGGCAGCTCGTAGAGTCCAGCTTCGGGGTGTTCGTCAAATCGTTTTGTACAACGCGTGAGGGGTTCACAGCTCCCCCCCCCCTGGGATTCGGTAGCAAATCATGGGAGCCTGGTACACCTTCTTAATTCCGCCTTTAGCGTCGGTTAGCGTCGATTAGCGTCTGGGAGTCGATGAGATAGCGCCGTCGGCGAGCGTCGATTAGCGTTGTTTTAGCGTCGATTTGCGTCGGCTAGCGTCGATTAGCGTCGATTCGCAAGAGCCGACAAACAGGTATGTGAGGCTCCCATGAGTTGCCACCGAAAATGCTAGGGCTCAGCAGTGCCGGACAGCTGCACGGGGACGGAGGACTTGGTCGGTCGATTGCGTGCCCTCGCGTCGGAGCCGCGGACGTGATGGTATGGTATCTCGCACGAGCTGCCCGCCTGGAGGGCAGCTCGTGCAGTGATTATATCTAAGCTGATCGCGTACATCTGTTAAACCACCATTGGTAATGCTAGGGGCAAGTGCCCCCACGCGTTCTTACACCTAACTCTCATGGTTTGATCTCTTTGGTGTTGCGGTCGAGGGCATTTTCGTAGAGTCTAGTTTCGGGGTGCTCGTCGACTCGGTTCGCGCAACGCGTGTGGGGTTCGCAGCTCCCCACTCCCCCTGTGGGCAAGCTCCATATTCATATCCAGTGCGTCTTGGCCTCTCCCGGAAGGGGGCGCCACAAGGCCGTGGCGCATTGGACACGGATAACACATCGCCTCTTGCGGGCAAGCTCATCCACACCCTGTGCGCCTCGGGTTTCTGGGGAGGCGAGCCCGAAACTCCGTGCTGCAGCGGACACGGACAGAAGGACTGCCCGCATCCCCAGGAGCCCGCCCCCCCCTGTGGCAGGCGCTCGGGCGGGGGAACCCTCCGGACTGCCCAGGGGGAGCCCCCGAGCCTGTGGCGGGCGGCTGCCGTGCCGCCCCAGGGAAAGGGAGGAGCATGGGCGCTCGTGTGCACGCAGCCGTTTTGTTTTTGTTTTCGTGCACGACGTTTTGAAACGGAGCGAGTCGATTTTAGGATTTCGCTGTTTTTCGTTTTTTGCACCGTTTGAAACGAAAACGACGGTTTAAACACAAACGACGTTCTGCTCGCATCCTGCTCGTGGGGCCTCCCGGGACGGGGGCATCGTGACGGGAGGCCGACTTGCAGAATCCGTGGCGCGCAGGGCGATTTTTTAGGATCGGTGGCGCGTCTTGGGCTTGACGCCGTCCTCCTCCTCCCCTCCTCCTCCGCCCCACCCCGTCCTCCTTCCATTCCACCCGTGCCCGAGGTTATCCTGAACCTCTGGGAGAACGGTCTGCTCAACAAGTGGAGCGCGAACCACCCCGAGAATCCGCTCAAGGTCGGCTACATCATCGTGGAGGTGAACAAGGCCACAGCAGCGGGCTGCCGAAGAGAAGTCTCCCCAGACCTGCGATGCCTGCTGTTTCCAGAGCGCGTGCGCCGGAGCCCTCGACCCCTTCCCGGAGACCCGTTTCTCTTCCAGCATCGCTTTGCCACGGTCCCAGACCTTTTCGAAACTGCTGCACGGAGCCGGGCGCCAGCGAAACAGAAGCACGCCCCTGTTCCTTGAAGGCGCCGGCGGCCCCAGGCCCGTGCGCGCCCGTGTGGCTTGGCCGCACAGGGCGAGCGCTCGAGCGGAGCGTGATGGTGGCGGAGGGTCGATTCGACCCGCAGCGCCAGAGTGGCACAAGGGTCTGAACTCGGCCAAATCCATCCTCCTTCGCCTCCCTTTCCCCCCCTTCCACTTCCCCCCCTCCCCTCCTCTTCCTCCTGCTCTTCCTCCTTCCACTCTCCTCCTCTTCCGTCCTCCTCCGCCCTCCGTTCTCCTCCTCGTCGTCGACAACGACGACCCTCTCCCCCGAAGACGTGGGCTGTAGGACCCTTGGACGTCCGAGGTATCCCGGATGATTCTGGTCTGGGGCAACTCCGACTTGGGCCCCCGAGACACGCACCGGGAGCTGCCCTGAAGTCGGGGCACGTCCCTCTACAGGAAGAATATCCAGGAATCGTAACATAAAATCGTCGGGTGACGATTTGTCATGCTTTTTTGGAATACTATTTCTGGTTATTGTTCGGACTGGTTTCAGTTTTTGTCCCAAGCCCGCTAGTAGATGCCCGACCTAGAGCTACCCGTGACCATCCCCAGACCCGATGTTTCGGGCGCCGGGGTCGCCCGAGTCATCCGGGATAATTCTGGTTCAGGGCACGTCCGGCTTGGGCCTCAAAGACACGAACCAGGTGAAATGGTGCAGCTCGTTCGTGGTATGGAGAACATGTTGTTGTTTCGTATCTTTGCTTGCCAATGGGTATGTGTGTACATGCCGATGTGTGGCTAAGCAGGTATTTCACTAATACGTAGTCATGGACGTTGCCAAGCAATGAGGGTCAGATAGTTCAAGAAGCAGCGCATAGCCACATACACGCATGTCAAATTGACGACATGTAGAACTTACCCGCATGTGTCGAGCTACCACTAAGTGTCACATCAGTTAGCTGGACTCCCTTAGCCTGTATTGGGGGAGAAAGTAGTGGGAGAAGGGAAGACGGAGACGGGGAAGAGGGAGGACGGAGAAGAGAGGCGGGATAATGAATGAGGGGGGAGGTCAGAGGATGGAGGCAATATGATGGAGCACGCGCAAAAAGGCACCTGCAGCAGCTAACCCGATTCGTTTTGAGCGGCTGATCTTTTTTCCGAGCGTTCAATGCAGCACCACAGTCGAATTGTCGTCCGTGCGGAAGCAACCTTTTGCCCTGCGCACCCCTTCGGGGAGCAGGAGTTCGGTCGCGTCCGTTTGTTCCGCCGAAAGTGTCCTCCCAATGGGGAGCGACTCGCCAACGCAAACTTTGTCAGGAGCAATGCTGAAACAGTGCCTACTCAAACGCGTGTTTTAATCTCCACGGCCACGCCACGAATGAAAATGTCATCGCCTGCCGCGAATCTGGAACCTTGCTATTTCATTTTCTTGGACACCTGGCACCGCTGGCCAAGCGCCTCAGTCAGCGGTTCGCTCACCGCCGAAGCCTCCATCAATTAGTTCATTGCGGCTTTGTCTATTAAAGGGATCACTTTGATCAACGGCTGTTGTATTGCATTCTTCTCAAAAGAAGCCGTGCTCAGAATATGATTTATAGTTTAACTCGCAAGTTTGCATGCTCGTTTGTGCACATAACATCAAGAAACATGTCGTCCCCTTGGTCCGACACCGCATGTCGCTGGTAGTGGTGTCTGGGAACCCTGGCATCGAGGTCGTACGGCGCCTTGCGCGCGTCCAGATGCTGGCCGACAGCACGCCGCATTCCATCTCTCATCGCGAGTGGCGTTGAGAGCAGGCTTTCGCTCCGCTGATGAAGCCCAGAACTTCTCACCAGCGTAGGCAGCTCTGACGCTCGAGCCCGACCTTGTGCGCAGGGACGCGGCCGACACCGACAAGCGAAGAAACGTGTGTGTGTCATCGAGCAGCTCATCCAGCAGATCGCGCGTGCGCCACGCGCCCTCGCCCGCCCTCTGGTCGACCACCGCAGGGTCCGCACCAGTGCGACGTCCTTTGGTGCGCGCCGCTCCGGTAGCCAGCTGGCGAACCCACGGTGTCACCGTTGCCTCTCTTCAGCTTCGCTGCGTTCCGGCAAGCCAGAGGGCGACACTTGATCCCAGCGTACCCCTAGAAATCGGAGCATGTTTTCTTCGCCACCTTGCCGCCGATCAGGCGGCAGAGTTTGAGGAACACTGTGCGTGCATGCCCGTCCAACGACGCGCTCGTGCCCGCGCTGCCGTCGCCGTCTGGGCCTGTTGAGAACGAGCGCAGGAGCGCCCCGGCAGCTGCTGGACAGTCCCGGCCTCTTCGTGCCGCCAGGTGCGCCCCGTCTCTAAAATGCCAGTGAACCAACACGCGGCCTGCCGTTTATGGTTCAAGCGCAAGATGTCACCAGGCGCCACATCGTCTGCGTTGGGCGCCATGCGCCATTGCCTGCCAGTGCTGTTCGGCACCGTCGTCATCGCATGCCGGAGCTCAGCCCTGAGGCCCTCGCATTGGGCCAGGCATCTCGGGAGGAGGAGCTGGTACTCGGCGATGGTCCATTCAAGCAGGTACCCAACGCTCCTTGGCAGCAGCAGCAGCGAACGGAAATATTCCTTTGTAAAGTTGTCTGTGCAGCTTCTCGCATCATCCCGAGATGTCGCTGCGCTTTGCCCCGACGTGCTCAGAGCAGCTGTCGCGTCAATTTCGCTGAAGGCCAGCCTGAGGGGAGAATCAGCCTCCTTGTAAGAAGCCTCCCCCCCTCCCCCTGCCCCCCCTGTGCGCGCAGCGTCAATGCTGGGCACTGAAGCCAAACAGATCCGCCACGGGCAGACCGCACTCGATGACCATCGACACCCGATGCCATCCGGTAGCCGGCGGTCGCGCCGGATAACATTTGGTAACGTCCCATAACATCTGATAACGCATCCGGTGACGCACATAAAAAATACATACATGCACGCACGCAGTGCCATGCACGATATCTGCATATGTCGCAATGATTATTTGATAACACAATGCATGCAAGCTAGAGATACATGCGCAACAGTACGAATGCATAGCGGGTAATCCTCTTATGATGTTTGTGATAGCAGTTGATCCGCTGGTCGCGCGAGATCCCACGTACCTAGCGGACGATCCGTTGTTGTACGATGTTTTACCGATCACCGTTGTACCGTTGGTGCACTGAAGACTTCACCCAAACAAGCACCGTTGGACATCTCCCGTTATCTCACCCCAAAGGGGTTTTCAAGAGCACGGCCGACGCGAGAGCAAACCCCGAGATGGATACGAAACGAGGCGGAGGACGTCACTAGAAAGTTGCTGAGTCACTTCAAACGTTAGGACGGTGTCACCAGGCCCCCACCGCGGTTATTTTGGAACGCCCCGCAGCCCGCTGCACGCCGAACTCCAGCCTAGCGGAAACCGCCGAAACGCTGAAAAATGCAAAAGTGGCCTAGACATCCCAAACGCAGCCCAGGGTTTCAGAGGAAACGCAGGAGGAGGAGGAGCAGAGGGGGCGCGGGAGGGGCCGCGGACCGGAAAAACACGTGGGGGCGGTTTTCAACATGTGGTTCTCGCCTCAGCGCCGCGCACATTCGTTCAAAATGGTGCAACAGTTTCACTGGTGGAGGGCGGTAGCTTGTCAAGATTTGTTGGCTCCCGCCTTAGTGCCGCGCACCATCGTTTTCAGAGTTCACAGGAGTTTCAATGCTTCTCATGGTTGACGTCCCAGAGAGGATGTTCTGGCACGATGTAGGATCTTGTCAGGGCGAAACAGTTGCGCCGGTTCGCGGCGTTGGAGTCCCAGGAACGGCCTTCTGGCACGATGCGGCACCTCTGCGACGACGACGACGACGATAACGGCGGCCCTCTCTCCCGAGGGGGGTGGTCGGTTGCACCCCCCTCCTTCGGCGAGGCGCACGGCTTCTGGGAGATCTTCGAGCAGATCGGGAAGCCGGGCGCCCGGCCTCCCCGCGCCGCGAGGGTCCGCGCCGCGGCGCCCGCTCGCGCGGTCGAGCGGCGTCCGCCGGCGGGGTCGTCGCCCAAGGGAGCCTCGGCGGGCGGGATGCTTCGTGGGCGGCCGGGTGACCTGCAGGGGGTGGGCGGGTATCGTGGCTGGGGCCATGATGTTTCCCCAGTTTTTTATATGATTATTTTTTTATGAGTTTTATTATTGTTGTGTTTAAGATTATTCGTGTTATTAGTAGTATTAAATATTCATTATTGGCATCATCATCATCAACATCATCATCATCATCATCATCATCAACAACAACATCAGCATCATCATCATCACCAGCATCATCATCATCAGCATCATCATCATCATCATCATGTTACTATTGTTAGTATCCTTATGTTTAGTGTTATTACTACTACCCTTATTATTATTACGCTTATTGAGTATTTCAAGCAGGTATATACATAGATATATCAAAACGTCTCCTGACCCCCCTTCTTGGACGCCCCCCTCTTGGACGCCCCGCATGCCGCAAGGCAGGGCTTGGCCAGATCCAGTAGGAGAGCACGTCGTCGTCGTCGGCGTCCTGCTGCTCCTCCTGCTGCTCCTCCTGTGCTCCTCCTGACGCTGCCCACCAGGGCGAGAGTGCTGTCAGCCCTGAGCCTGGTGGGATCCAGCCGGCGGTGGACACGCAAGGGGGACTGACGGCGCAGGCGGCCCGCAAGCGGATGCGCGGCGCATCCCAGCAGGACGCGACATCTTGCGGGGGGGAGGGCGTGTGCGGGCTGTGCGTCTGAAGCAAGTTCGAAGGACTGCCCCATTCCTGGTGAAGGGCCGCGGGAGCCGGCATCAGAGCTCGCGCTGCTGAGCTGCAGGAAGGGCTGAGGCTGTTCCAGCCGGCCCCACCGGAAGGGTGGCCCCCAGAGGCCCTGCGATACGGCTGGCGCCAGCCTTCGCTGCGGCCGCGGAGGCCACGACCGCCTCGAGCTGAAGGCAGCCGCGGGGCAGGGCTGCGGCATCTCGAGGGGCGTGCTGCGGGCCTTGCACCCAGGCAGAAGAGGTCACGTCGGCCCGTGCCGTCCGTGGGCCTCCTCCCTCCTCCCTCCTCCCTCCTCCCTCCTCCCTCCTCCCTCCTCCCTCCTCCCTCCTAATGATGAAAGTGGCATGGGTGTTCGCTAATTTCTTCCGAGGCCTATACTGAAACGTTCAGTTTGCTCGAGACACGGGCCCACGACTTCTCGAACCCGGGGCCGGTGCGTCATCCCGAGTTGTCTCGTCGACGGTCCCGAGGCCCGGTGAGGGTCCCGAGAGGCAGAAAATGACGAGAAGCCCCCGTCCCGATTCTGTCGCGACGCCGGCGATGCCTGGGGTCAGTGCCCCTCGGGTGGAGGGCTTCGCGTGCGCCGCGCAGCCCCTCTTGGCATAGACAGTCGGGGCGCTGACGAAGGAACCCTTGTCGTCGGGGAGGGGCTCGGTTTTTCCTTGATTTGTGTTACAGCTTGGCTTCGGTGTTCCTCAGGCTTCCCCTGGGAAATTGAGGTTTCACTCATGGGAAGCAGGGGCCTCGTTCCTCATTTTGGGGTTCCTGAGGTCAACACCCCGACGGTAGCCAAAGTTTAATTACACCAGGACTGAACCTAAACGGTGTTTTTCGATTTCGTTTTCCCTCGTTCTGTCTTCAATCCGCCTTTCACGCAAAACGACATCGAAACGAAAACGGCCCACGAAATCGCCAAAACGCCGTTGAGGTCCACCCCTGGTGTACACACCGATCCCGGGCCCAGGATCGGACCGGCCGGGGTCGGCGTTGGTCGTATAGCTGGCGTCCCCCGAGGAGAGGGCGAGCATCCGGCGCTCCAGGCCCCCAGCGTCGAGCACCAGTCACCCCAGAGGAGCACCCTCATAGCAGCAAAGGCGAAGATGCGGAGCGAGGAGGAGCGAGGAGGAGGAGGAGGAGGAGGAGGAGCGAGGGGGAGGAGGCCTGTACCGAAGCGTTGGGCCGCGTGCAGACTTGTCTGCTCCCTCTCCGTCCACCCGAGGGTCGGCGTGCTGAACATGGTCATCCAGCGCAACCCCCCGAGGCAGGGCTGGCACGACGAGGTCTCCCACCTCGGGCAGGACCGACCCCCCCCCCGCTCCCCTTGGCGCCTCTGCGGCGGTCGCTCTGCCACCGAGCCTGCTCGGGCGTCGAGTGCTGGGATGTGCTGGGGGGGGGGCGGTGTTCCTTGACGTGCGAACGCTCTCGGGGCTCTTCTTCTTTATCCTCCCTCGTTTTATCCTTCGGTCTTGGTTCCTTCTTTCGCCGTCGTCTCCTCCCTCCATGGCTTGTGCATCGCATGGTGGAGTCCCCTTTCCCTCAGCTGGGAAGCTGGCAATTTTCATCAGCACTGCGTTGGTTCGTGAAGCGAAAGAAAGAGGAATGGGGGCGCGGGAAATTGGGGATGAAGAAAGGTACACCCTTTGGGCCCGGGTGAAGAAAGATACACCCTTACTTAGGGCCCCTTTAGGATACGAGACGTGCACATTTCGTCATCCCCTCATTTATCACCCCCCCCCATGATTCACGTGCGACCTGCCCGTCTGCACCGGTCGATCTGCCTCCACAGACCCCCTCGGGCCATGCAAGAACGCGACGGGAGGCTTCTTGGATATCTTCGGCCCCTGGGGGCCCTCGCCAGGCCCCTGGACCATCAACAGAACGACTCGGGATGAAGAACCGGTCCTGGGGAATGGGTCGAGGCCTCTGGGGGTCGACGTTATGGCACAAACAATTTGACGCCTCTCCGGGCACACCAAAGAGCCCCAACCACAGTTGAGTGGATTTTTCGGGATGGGCCTCGCGGGTGAGAACCCACCGACCTGGACATGAGCTCTCTGGGTGTGGCTGTGGTCGATTCGGCCGCCCCGGGACGCCACATCGACCGTCACCGGCACTCGAAGCCGGTCCTGGTGTGCCAGCAGCTCTGGCATGCGCAGGCTATCCCGCGGGGTGTGTCCTCGAGTCGGGAATAGCCACGGCCCCAGGCAAGGGGACCCGGTTAGTGGTAGGGCCCCAGAGCCCCTCAATTGGCCAGACTCACCAAACCAGGTCTGCCGCAGCTGGTGTTCTTTCGGGTGACGGCAGTTCCGGTCAGTGGAACTGGGACGGGGGGGGCGCCCCCGGTACAGATCACTAAACCAGGTCCCCCTAAACCCAGCTCTGCCAGCGCCCGAAGGATCTCCCGCGGGGTGTTTTCCTCGAGGTGGTCGCGGTCGCTGCCTGTCCCCGCAGTCGGGGCGGTTGTGGGCTCTGGGCCTGCCCGCCGGCCGGGTGCGGCCCGCCGTGCCGCGGAGGCAAATGTGGCGCCTCGCGCGCTGCGCGCTGCGCGCGGGGGGCCGGGCGGCCCCGAGCCGCCCGCCGCCTCGCCCGAGAGAAGAGGGGGGAGGAAGCGGCGGAGCCTCAGAGCGAGGCCGAGAGGACGGACACACGCACGCACACACTCGTGCATCTACCTGTTGCTTTCGGGCCCTTCACGGGCCCTCTGCGGGCCCCTGGGCCGTCAGAGGAAACGATTCGGGATGGAAGAAGGCCCCCGGGGCCCTCCACGGGCCCCCGGGGACGGTCCGAAGGCGACTCAGGATGATCGGGGGTGGACAAGCAGTGGCGAAGCGTCCCGGCCCGCCTATAGCCCCGCCAAGCAATTTCTAAGAACCTTTTGTGTGGTTCCCACGGAATGTTCTCAGAGCATTTCTGGCCGGGACCTTCCTGTTTTAACACATCGGGTTTCTGTTCTAAGAACATGGTTATTGTTATTGGAGCATGGTTGGATTCTACGAACACTTCGTGGTATGACTATAAGAATGCCGGGACGGTCGGTCCCTGCTCAACTCCAGGTGCGCCTCCCGCCGTGCGCCTGCCAGCCTCTCTCGCCGCCTGCCTCCGAGGAAGAACAAGCGCCACAGGCACAAACTTTTGGTGCTCCGCGCGGCTTCCTCGGATCTGCGCTGGGGCCCCCTGGCGGCGCCTCGGGCGCCGCCCCAGGCGCGCTCCGCGCGCCAGGGAGAGGGGGGGTTCAGCGCAGATCTCAGAAATCCGCGCGGAGTGCCAAACGTTTGTTTATGGCCGTCTTGCTTCTTCAATGCCTGTCTGCCTACCACAAGTCTTTCAATAAGCGTGGGGGGGTGGATCGCCCGGGGGGGTGGGAAACCGCTGTCCTTCGGGGGGCGTGGGGAGGTTGGGGAGCGAGAGGGGGTGGGTTTGGGGCGCGTGGGGGGGCGGGCAAGGGGCGTCGGACAGGTTGGCACGGGGGGGGTGCTTACTGAAGGATGTGGAGTACCCTGACCCCCCCTCAGGTCGTGAAAAGCTAAGCGTTGCAGGAGGCCTTCGGGTGTTGGTCGGCCGGGCCCTCGGGCCGTCGAAGCGAACGCCTCGGGACGACGAGCGGGTCCTGGGGCATGCGTCGAGGCCTCGGGGGGGTCGACGCGCGGACAAAAGTCCGGACCTCGAGGGTCTGGGTACCCGCCCGTTCATTCCTCCTGGTGCGCCTGCTTGCCGGTGCTCGTGCATCGCCATGGGGGAACGAGGTCCTGAGGGAGACAGGTCCTGAGCTGTCTCGCCGTCTTCGGGCGCTCTCGGAGCCCTCCACGGGCCCTGGGGTTGGTCAGAGAATGAGTCAGGATGAAGAGCTGGGCCCTGGTGAATGCCCCAGGGTCCTGGACCCGTTTCCCTCAGGACCAGTTTACCCCATGCTGATGTATGCTAATGTGTGTGTCAGGTTTTTGGGACATTTGGCCCATCGGTCAGCCGATGTTTTTGTCACTCCATTAGTGTTTTAGTTCCACCCTCTCTCACTCCCCCTCTCTACGTGGCCCGTGGCTCTGCTTCCGCCCCCGCCCATCTCTCTGCAATCCGCTCTCCTGGTTACTGCGAGGCGGATGTCCCTGTCTATCTTCCTGTAGTTTGCAATGCTCGCCCTAACGCCTCGCCTCTCCTTTTCTTCAGGAAAAGAGGGGCATCGAGGTGCGTAGATGTATACATTTATACATATACAGGATAACCGAGAGCGCAGGCACGCGCGCGCGCGAGGAAGGGACAGAGAGAGAGAGAGAGAGTGAGAGACAACGGGATATCAACGTATACTATTTTTGTTCTCTTTACATATTACACACATATGCTTTCCCTCTCTCTCTATATATATATATATCGTATATATAGATGTACATATCGACAGATGTATATACATATATATATATATATATATATATATATGGACCCGTGGGTTGAGGTGAATACACGGAGTTGAGCGGATCAAGGTTTGGTGGTGCGCGCTGGATTGTGTGAAGCGGTCAGCTACTGCCGTAGGTCCTCTCAAGTTTGTTCTAGTGTTTCCCAACTGAACGCGCCCAGTGCACTGATGCGGGGACCGAGGTGTTCGAGCTTCGCGAAAGCAAGTTCCAGAGTCCAGGCTGGAGCAGCGTTGGAGGATTCGCGCCGGGGTATCGGTGGACGCGGGAGCGGGCTTGAGCAAACACGGCGCCGTCTCGGGCCGTGCCGGAGGTGCGGCAAAGGAAGGATCGCAGCGGGGCAACGGTTCGAGATGCCCCGATCGGGAAGCTCCGAGCCAAGATGTCGCTGCACGTGTTGCGAAGCATCGCTTCCTCTTGCTCGCCGCCGATCCCGCAGAACGACAAGGCGTCATCGTCGTCGCCGCCCAGAAAAATACCATCCATGGCGACCAGAACAACTGTTCCTCTGCGGCGGCGAGGGGCCTGTCGCCTCTCGTCCGCACCCCCCCTTGTGGAGGCAGTTTTGAGTCTTTCAAGGGCCGTTCAGCAGCCCCCAGGGTGTCTGCTATTTGGGGTCCGTGGGGGCTTCTCGGGGCCATCTTGGGCCGTGTGGGGCGCCTCTTGGACCGTCTTGGGGCCATCTTGGTCGCCTCTTGGGCTGTTTTGGGTCCATCTTGGAGTGTCTTGCGCCGGGTCCTTTGGGGCCGCTATGGACGTCTCTTGGGCCTTTCTGGGGCCTTTTGGAACCATGCTTGTGCCCTTCTGGGACGATCTTGGAGGCCCCTGGGTCCGTCTTGGACGTTTCGTCGAGCAGATCTGCGGATCGTGTGAAAATGTTAACTTTAACGCAGACGTTACACTTTTTGGTTGATCGGGCCTTCTTAGGGGCGTTTCGGAGGTTCCCCGGGCGCCTGTGAGGAAATTTGAAACAGTTTCTGGAAGTTTGGGAGGCTGTTTTTGGGGGGCGAGCAGTGAGTTTTGGAGCCTCAGGGGCCGCTGCGGGGCAGCTCGGATGAATGTTGGGGCCGTCTTTGGCCGTGTGGGGGCCCTCTTGGGCCGTTGTGGGGCCGCTCTGGCGCCTAGGGGGTGGGGGTGGCCGCCCCCAAACCACCGCTGCATTTTGCGGATTGACTTGAACGGACACGCACGCACGCACGCACGCACGCACGCACGCACGCACGCACGCACACACGCACGCACGCACGCACGCACGCACGCACGCACGCACGCACGCACACACACACACACACACCCACACCCACACACCCACACACCCACACACCCACACACCCACACACCCACACACCCACACACCCACACACCCACACACCCACACACCCACACACCCACACACCCACACACCCACACACCCACACACCCACACACCCACACACCCACACACCCACACACCCACACACCCACACACCCACACACCCACACACCCACACACCCACACACCCACACACCAACACACCCACACACCCACACACCCACACACCCACACACCCACACACCCACACACCCACACACCCACACACACACCCACACACGCCCACACACCCACACCCACACACCCACACACCCACACCACCCACACCACCCACCCACACCACCCACACTACCCACCCACCCACACACCCACACACCCACACACACCCACACACCCACACACC